AATCTTCAGAGGGAAAAAGAGCGACCAAGCGAGATGGAGAGGACCTCCAGGAGACACGACTACTCACCCCCTTCTCCCCCACCACAGCTGGCAAAAGCCACAGAGAGAGAGAGAGGAAGGAGGTCCAGGAGCAAGCAGAAGGAGAGTGAGAAAGGGAGGCGCTCAAGAAGCAGAGAAGTGGAGAAAAGAAGGCGTTCCCAGAGTGTGGAGATCATGGAGAAGAGGAGGCGCTCGAGGAGCGTAGAGATGGAGAAGAGGAGGCGCTCGAGGAGTGTAGAGATGGAGAAGAGGAGGCGCTCGAGGAGTGTAGAGATGGAGAAGAGGAGGCGCTCGAGGAGCTTAGAAAATGAGAGGGAAAGATCACGACGTTCAAGAAGCAAGGAGAAGGAGAGAAATAGGCACTCAAGAAGCAGAGACATACAGAGGGGGAGACGATCGAGGAGTCGGGACATGGAGAGGGGGAGACGATCAAGGAGTCGGGACATGGAGAGGAACAGAGGGCAGCATTTAAGAATAAGGGACACGGAGAGGGTAAGGAGATCGAGGAGTCGAGAGATGGAAAGGGGGAGACGATCAAGGAGCAGAGAAAATGAGGGGGAGAGAAGTAAGCGCTCCAGAAGCAGAGACATGGAGAGGAGAAGATCAGCAAGTCCAGAGATGGAGCGAGGGAGGCGTTCAAGGAGCAGAGAACAGCGGGACAAAGGAAAGAGCATCCCTCAGAGGACAAGACATGACTCCTCCTCATCCCCTTCCCCCTCCCCTCTGAAACAGGAAACCAGGATGGAAAGGAGCAAAGACGGAATTAAACTGGACAAAAAGTCAAGACATGACTCCTCCTCCACGCCTTCGCCTCCCCCTGAAAAAGAGAGACCAAGGAGGGAGAGGAGTAGAGAGAGGGAGCGCAGAACTAACGATCTGCAGTCAACAGTGCCAAACGAGAGGGACAACAGGAAGGATGCAAGGAGACTCGCGAGGGAGACGCCTCCTCGCCAGCAGAGAAATGACAGGAAGAGGGACGGACAACCATCCCGTGACTCCTTGTCACCTGCTTCCCACTCACCTGTCACCAATGGACGCCAGAGGGAAAAGGAGAACGACAGGAGAGGAGAAACGGACAGAGAGGGCAACAAGGAGAAGGACCGGCATCTGAACAAGCAGCGGGAAGGAGACAGAGTCCAGGAAGGCAAGAGGAAGCGGGACGAGGTTCGATTGTCCTCAGAAGTCAGGCGAGATGAATCGAGGCCTGCCGAGAAGGCGGTGAGTGAAAGACCGGAGGTGAGGGAGAAGCCTGCTGAGAAACGGGAGAGCAGCAGCAGCAGCAGCAGCAGCAGTAGTAGCGGCAGCAATAGCAGCAGCGACAGTGACAGTGATAGCTCCTCATCTTCTTCATCATCTTCCTCCTCCTCCTCGTCCTCATCCTCTGAAGATGAAGGCAAGTCAAAAAAGGCTGGATCCCCACAGAGGGAGAAGGACAGCCTAGGAAAACCTGCGCTGTCCGCCATCGGGATTGCAGTCCAGAGACATTTAGCCAACGGTAAACAGCAAAGCTCCGCCTCTGAGCGCGACACACCCAAAAGCTCCCAGAGGGAGAGAGGAGGAGGAGCAGGAGGAAGAGATGCACCCGAGAGGGAAAGACTGCCTCAAAGAGCTCCGACGGAGGAGTGCTCACGCCGCACCAAAGGCCAGGAACGCTACAGCCCCAC